AAAAAAATGAAGGGATTAATATGAGTTTCAGAAATGCAAAAAATATATAAAATTTCTTGGTTAACTGGAGAATTTAGAAATGTATTGAGGAAAAGAAAAACACGGGCGATGTTGAATTACGATTATATACATATAAAACCATGTGGCACATACATTTTCTTTCTTTTACAATTCAACTACTGCAAACGAACTGAATGTTTAAAAAAAAGAATTGAGTACGTATAGACTGTATTGAGAATGTCTTAATAATTATTTTAATATGAAATACCCCCAATTAAAAGCCTCCCATATGAATATATTGGCAGTACCCATGTTTTGCTCTGGAAAATCCAAAATATATGTCAGATCAAAAAGTAAAATAGGAGGTGCACAATGGCAATATGTAATAAAGATTCTGTGAAAGTTTCATTAAATTTCCTTCAGTGGTATGAGAGGAGTTGCGGATAAGAGATGGGTACCAATTCCAAAGCGTAACAGACGGACGGACGGAACACACGGAATTTATAAAGGACTTACGTTTATCCTGGATCTGCGCATGTGCGGAAAAGCATCGGACGGTCGAGGAAAATATTTTTTGTGACGTCTGTTCAGTGACGGACACAAATAGAAATACCGATTGCATATGCATACCCTCCCGCTTTTCAAGCGGGGGGTATAAAAAGAATTGAGTACGTATAGACTGTATTGAGAATGTCTTAATAATTATTTTAATATGAAATACAGTAAAACCAATTAAAAGGATAATTAATGCTATGAATTAGATACTAAGTAGTCGGATTCAGCTGGGGTTAAATGAATTATACCATATTTAGCCAGCGAGGTAGCCTTATATATATGCTGACATTAGAAGCGCCCCCACCCCCAAAAAACATTAACTCGCCTCTAGAGAAAATTAATATTTATGAAGACACGCGTCATATGCATAAACAACATTCTGCTATCCCGTTCCTAACCCAGTCCAACACAACATATAGATATATCATAATTGTTTCTTTTCTGATTTTTTAGATAAAAGATTTTTAAGATTTAGAAGTTATGTGTTGTGGGTATCCCCCCACTCTTAAAAAAGGTGAATTGTATAAGAATTTTATGATGTAGAGAACTTTTTGATGTTATAATTAAAAGTCCTTGTGCAAAGCGAAACTATAATATTCCTGAATATTCACGAACACGTGAAATCCTGCTCTATATGATTTTGCAGAAAAGTTTGGTATTAACGGGGCATGAAATACTTAACATTACGGTGAATATATAAGAACACCTTTCACAAAACTCTTTTTTTTTACACTCGACTTAAAGTAATTTTTTGGTTTACAATTCTTTTAAATATCAATGACGTAGAAAACCGGGCCCATCGTTGTACATTTTCGCAAACCAAGATAAAGAAATTCAAAAGCATAGATCACCGGTATATCTATAGACTTGCAAAATAAGGAATGAAATATCTAAGAAATTAAACTGATAAACTATTAGTAATGGAAGAGAGACAAAAGACAGAGAGAAACAAATTTTTTTAAGGAAATGATACCACCGTGTTGAGCCTCTTTTTGTGTCAAAGGGAAGCAACTTGCGAAATTTATCAAATCCAGTCGCTTCGTACACTGCACACTTCTCAGATAAGTTTACGTGGTTCCATTAGAGAATTACTGATGTATGAAGAAATTGCCTTATACCACAGGAGTCTGACGTTTTTATCGTCAAAAAAAAAAAAAAAAAATCCGGAAAAAAAATTCCCACCCTCAACTAAAAAAAACGTGTTTTTTTTGAACGAGTCTAAAGGCAGCTCCCTGCACAACACGTGACCAAAACTGTGACGTCACGTCACACACAAAGTGAAAGTAGCCTTGGTTGCTTCTATAATAAATATTCTCGTGAGTAAACGAAAACTGCTGTTTCCATAAGATTATATTTTTGTATTACTCAATATATCAAAGATTTCTAATATATTTGTGAAATGGTAACACAATGCAATGCGCAGGTGCTAAATAAACAATACCAAGACCGAAAGAGCGAAACAAATTTTTTTAAGGAAATGATACCCCCCCCCCAACTTGCGAAATTTTTCCACCTTGCACTCACACTTCTCAGGGGTTTGTCACTGATATATATTGCCTTATACCACAGGAGTCTGACGTTTTTATCGTCAAAAAAAAAAAAAAAATATCCGGAAAAAAAAATTCCCACCCTCAACTAAAAAAACGTGTTTTTTTTAACGAGTCTAAAGGCAGCTCCCTGCACAACACGTGACCATAACTGTGACGTCACGTACACACAGAAAGAGCTTTGGTTGCTTCTAAATATATTCTCGTGACAAGCCCCTGCTGCTTGCACTCAGAAAAAAATTTTTGTATTACCAATATATGTCAATATATGTTGTATTTGATAGTATATATAAACAATACACCCACGAGCAATGGTATACCTTTTTTTACCTGCACTACAGGGGATTCCGGGCTATGTGTAGGGGTGTCCTGTTTACAAACCAATGTCGGTTACACCCCCCCCCCCAACACACATATAGACACGTGCTCAAAATAGATACAAACTAAGATAGAAAATACATGAAGGTACTTTTTATTCTATTTCAGAATCAACATATGCATATACATATATACACTGTACAAAGGCCATTTTTATTTCTCCAATTTGATAAATATTAGTAATTTACTGCAAGTGATAACTGATTAAGGTTAGTTGAGAATTAAGGCCACTCCAGCTTTATAATTTCAGAAGTTCAGCATACATACTCATATTTAAAAATATTTTTTCCAGTTTATTGCCACCTTTCAGTCACTTACACTCTGAGCATAGTAGCAGAGAAGTATTTAATCCTAGGCGAGGCTCTAACTTGTAGGATTAGGTTCACCTATACCATGTACATGTATACCAGTACATGTATATATAAAATTTAAATGCATCATTGATTAATTAAATTAACAATCAGTACCTCTCTGGCATTTTATAACATGGATTATAAAAATGTTTTGTGAAATACTGATATTTAAATGTTCTCTTTGGGCCTCGTCAGTCAGGTAAGAGAACACAAATTTTTAACCTGAGACCTTCCTGGTGCAAAAATGATCTAAAACATGTTTCTCATTTAATCATTTTCTCATTTAATTGGAAAATTAAAGCATTTTAATTTTTTTCTGTTAAATCCAGCTTCAAATGTAAGGCACCAAGAAGGTTTCGGCCCTTTTAACATTGTTAATAAACAGTGAAACAATAAGACTGAAACCTTTGAAAAATAAAAGAAATTTTCTGAAAAAAAGGGCCTTTCAAAGGATTCAGGAGAAAAGCATGCAATAAATTACGAAATAAAGAAGGACATGTATATCATATCAATTTCACCTAAAGATGTTATACAATGAAAAACAATAAAAAGTAATAATAAAAACAAATCCTCTTTTCATACAGATTGTTAGGTATGATACAGAGTTTAAATTTTAGTTTCCTTTTTACTAATGTACAAATAATACAGCTCATTTGTTTAGTTATAGTTTTGATGAATTTATGAGAAATAAATTTATTAATACTTTGTTTCAACATTAAGTAGATCTAGATTAATATCCAAGGTATGTGCTACATCGTAACAATTATTGCTGATCAACACAATATAACAATATTTAGAATTACATGTAAAGTATTCATTTTTTTTTCAAACATAAAATAATATGTTTTACCTATGTTAAGTCAATTTACTTTATTATTTTAATTAAATAAGATTATTTCTACTACTTACAAAAAATCAGATTGATATGCATTTCAATTGAAATACATGTAGTAACACAAGTCTATATTACAGATACAATTAGTCGAGTAGTTTTATATCAAATATTCCTCTATTTATATACAGTTATAATTTAGAAATATTTTCTTTAACAACTGGCTTAATTAAACATGGATATGTATTAGATGTATGCATTTGCTTAGAAGGTCTTAATGGAAAATTAAGGCAGCAAGATCTGAGGATTGCCACATCAAATTATTGAGATAAAAAATTAAAGCACAATAATCATGATAGCTAGTACAAGTTTTCTTTTTTTTTTTAACTGTCTAAAGAATGTAACATGAGAAAGAAAATTTTGGTGAACTCAATCCCATTAAGAATAATGGACATTGAATGCAGTGATTTCACACATATACAACATTTTAGGCAAAAGCATGCAAAAAATTGAAAAAAAAAATTATGACATAATTTGCAAGTTTAGGATAAATAATTAAAGAAAACAAACAATGAGAAAAAAAAGTAATGTAAAAAAGATAAAAAAAACCATAATGAAACCCATAATCTAAGGAAAAAAACAACATTTTTTAAAAATGAAAAATTGTCCCTATAATCTAAGGCATTGGCTTCAACAGGTTTAACCAGATAGAACCTCGAGACCTAGGGAATGATGCAGAACAGGGGCCTCAGACTTCAGATGGAAAATTGTCCTTCTACCCTTGCCAACCTACTACTGGGCTGACATTCCGTCCCACAAACATCCTCTAAGACTCAGATCCTATCAACAATCCTACCATTTTACCTACTTAAAACCCTTTTCCTTACAAATTATAGATATGGTGGATAGAACCTCGAGACCTAGGGAATGATACAGATCAATCATTTAAGGAAGAACCTAAACCTAACTACAGATGTTATAATAGGACTTATACCTCCACTGTTTTTGGAATTTTTTTCCATCATCAAAACTATGAAAGATAATAGATTGTGTAATCTGGGCCTAAATCAACAGAGGCAATAGGCCATATTAATGCTCATCTGAGTAATCAAAGCCTAAATAACTAATTTAATATTTGCAAAGGATACTCTGTGCTAACTTAAGTTAAAAATTGACCAGGTGGTTCTCAAGAAGAAATTGAAAGAGTTAAAAGTTAACAGTCACATGGACAGATGCTAAGCAACACGTGATCAGAAAAGCTTACTTGAGTTTTCAGCTGAAGTGAGATTAAATGTACATACCAGGTGCAAAAACATTTTATTGACGGTCAATCTGATTAAATTCAGATCCTTTGATCTGCTCACATATATCTGTACACAAAGAATCTGAGGAAACCCCACTCAGGGTCCTTTCTGATATAAATATTCATGAAATTTTTACCAATAAGAGAGATCCAGCATCTGAAGCAAGCCTGGTAGTATGCATCTTTAGATGTATCACCCATGCAAGTTTGGTCAATATAGGGCTTAGTTATTTGAAAATGAGACCTGCACCAAATACTTTAACTGTCCACTCATCCAAAAAATGTAGGTCAGGTCCAGCATCTGAAGCAAGCCTGGTAGTATGCATCCTTAGATGTGTCACTCATGCAAGTTTGGTCAATATAGGGCTTATAGTTACTTGGATGGATTAAAGGTGATGTGACCTTTACAATGGTATGTAATCTCATTTCAGGGACATGATATTCTCATGTCAAGAGCATTATTTGTCAAATCTTTTAACCTACACAATTTCTTTTCTAAAACGTAACCCAGTACTGGTCGGAAATGAAAGTGGGATGAAAAGACAGAAGGACATAGTGATTCACATTCCTTGTATACCCTTAAAATGTCATTCTGAAGGAATTTCTAACCCCCATTTTACTCCCCATCTTTCTCAGCTGCATCTGAAAAAATTGAAATTTCTTGTTACAGATAATTTTTCAAAACAATAGCAGAAAGAAAAACCATAAAATTACATAGAAGATGTGTGTAATTGATACCATTTCCTCCTCCATTTGTGAAGACAATGACCTGCTTCTTGCCATTAATGGTGGTAACAATCCTCCTTCCAATCATAGAGGGTGGTACTCTCATCCATGTTGGCTGTCCCAATCCAGTTCCAACACTACATTTCAGTATAAAATTTGAGCATACTGTAATTCTTTTTAAAATAAGCTCATAAAACTACAATTTACAGTTCAGAAGAGAGAGTTATGTGCATTAGACATGTTGAGTATACCTAAATACACTTTGTTGTGGTGGCTGTGTAGGTAGTGCGTTCGTTGTTTGGGGGACTAGTCTTAGGGGAGGATATGGTGCCACAGATGGTCCAGGCAAGGAAACAGGTACTGAGGAGACTTGAGATGATCTGTAAATTTATAAAAATATTATTTTTTCATATACATTTATAAATGGTAATTTCAAACCAGAAGTCTACCTCTAACGAGACTGTAGCTCTACTGATCTGTACTTAACAAAGGACGATAAAACTAGCAATTGGACTTGAAACTTTGCAACAGCAATAAATACATTTAACAGATTAATGATCCTTGGCTTAGTCTCTTTTTGAGGCAAGATTTTTTGCCATCAGACAAAAACTGTTGGAGTATCCTTTTAAATAATTCAAATATACTTGTAACGCGTCATTTGATTGGGTAAAACATTTTAATCCATTTTAGATAACATAACTTGCCTACATAACAATGAGTTTTACGTCAAAAATGTATTACTCCACTTGACGTTACTTTTAAAATATGCTCAATTTGAAGCCTTTTTCAGGAGGAAAAATTGTCTCATTTTCTACACTGAAATTAAATTATAAGGAATTTAGCTTATTTTAACCTATGTTATACGATATAACATAACTTGGGGCAGTTTACGCTTTTTTATAAATCGCTTTGTGGTTTATGAAGTGTAAACTGCCCCACGTTATGTTATATTGTATAACATAAGTTGAAATAAGCTTAATTACTGAAATAATTTGAAAGAAAGTTTGATTTTGGTAACCATGGTAAGTTGGCAACACCATTCAACAGGAGCAGAGGTGAAGATTTTCAAAGAAATAATGCATTTCCACTATATAACCTACTTTAAGCCCTGCCCTAGCACTAGAACCCCTGACCCCAGGGCCATATGAATTTTACAATTTTGGTAAAGGACTGAATGCTGATTACAATCATGCAAACAGTTTGACTGCTTGATGTCCAGGGGTAAAGAAGATTTTTAAAGATTGCATTAATTTTAGTGGTTTTGGCCCCATCCCTCAGGCCCCCTGAAGGGGGGTAGGGACCATGAAATTCACAATTTTTGTTCCCCTTCACCTATAGATGCTTTATGTTATATTGGTTGAGTGGTTGCAGAGAAGGAGCTAAAAATGTTCAAGTGTTAACGCACAACGCACGACGACGGACGAAAACGGATAGCAATAGGTCACCTGAGTTGACCTAATCAAAAATCACATTTGCAGTGAAGGTAGAGAGCTAAAAAATGTAAATATAAGCAATGAAACATTTTCTTTAAAAGATATAGTCTCATAATTGCAACCGTGTGTGCAAACAAATTTTCATAATGCGCTAATGTGCATTATTTATTAATGAGATATTCAATTTGATTGCACTCAATTTGATAGCACACATTGTTGCATTTATGAGACTATATCTTTCAAAAAATAATGATGCATTGCTTAATTATATTTGTAGTTTATTTTTGTGTCAATTTATATTGAAATCATACCAAAATTGTAGGAGTATTTGTAGTAGTATTTTGAAAAAAAATTGTTTACAGACAGACAGATTGACAGATACAGACTTACTATTGCATAAGCTCATCTGGTCTCTGACCAGTACAGCTAAAAATGATTTTTAAAAAATTCCAGCAAGTTCACAGCATCATGATTTGTGGCCTTCAAGCCCTAACCTCTGTACACACTAATATATTTTTATTTTTCAGGTGCACATTTGTCTACTTTTCATATAATCATCTTAACATCGAAGATTTTAAATAGGTCTGAAATTGCTTTGCCTAATAACTTATTCCTGTAATAGAGAACTTACCCTGAGTCATTGGGGAGAAGATTCCTCATTTCATCATCTGTTGGTTTTTTAAAATGGGGCTTTGGAATCCTACCAGGCTTTTTAGAAGTTGGTCTAAATCGAGGCTGTAATAAATTTTTAGCATTAGAAGAAATCTTCTCTGTCTTTTTGAAATCTTTTAAAGAACTGTCAATGCCATTGCTACCCTCATTTGCTGAAATAATATGGTCTAAAGCACATAAAATATTATCTAGCGTATGTTTTTGAACTGACGGATTGTTTCTAATCTGTTCAGCAATTATGTTCAATTTTTTCTCAATCTGTTGAATCTTTTGATCAGAATGATCCTGCGTAGACACTGATGTACCTGTATCATTATCTGATAAGTGATGTTCTGGTGTAAAATCAACATCTGCATTAGATGGTTTATTTGTATTGCTATTCAAATTGACAACTGCATGTATTTTGTGTAGATGTTTGCAGACATGACCAATTTTGTAATCTGTACAAGAACATGAAAAAAGATGTTTACAAAGGTTAACACAAGGAAATTTTTTGCACTTGTTGAAACAATATAACTCATTGCATGTGCCAACTAGTTTCTTGATGTCATATGTAGAATCTGATGATGTTACTGTAAAAAAATTGTCACTAATTTGTAAAATACATGAGTCCTTAATATCTAAACTTCTTTGATGACGATCTTCATTATCTATATTTTCTCCTGAGGGCAAATTAAATCTCATACGACGTAAACGTGTCATGAATAGATTTTTTTCAATTTGTAAGAGAATATCAATCAAAACATCAATCCGTCTATTGCGTTTACCTTCAAAAAATACTGTTTTTAATTGATTGTGGAAGCTTTCTACAAACATATTAGTATGTACATTGCCAAATTCCCCTTTCCTGTAACATTTTGCCCAAATTTCTTTTCTACTCAAGTAGTAATTTTGGAAATATTGTAAAAATTCTGGATTTACACCTTCTAATTTTTTGGACAATTCCTGGACATAGCGAGAAAAAAGAGTTTCAGATTCTGCTTGTAAAGAAGCACATAAGTAAGAATAAATTTCTGCTTGTAGGTTTTGGTCCTTAACAAGTTGTCTACTCTTTTTCTTCCAATTTTCATGCACATGCCAATGACAGAGAAAATGCTTGATGTCCCCCCCAAAAATTTTCTTAGCAGCAGTCCAACCGGAACTGTCATCATCAGTCATGAGAATATTAATTTTTGTATTAGGGGCTTTCATTTTGACAGAATTCAAAAAGACAGAGATAACATCCTCACTCTCTCTGTTACTTATACAAAAAGCAACAGGGTAACCATGCCTAAATTCATCTAAGACCAAAAGAGTTATCAATTTAAAAGAATAAATATTTGTTTTATGGGTTGAATCCATGCAAAGTATTACAGGAGCAAACTTTTCAAACATATTAAGCTGCTGCTTGGTCATTAGAGCAAGCAAAAAATCCTCCTTTTGAAGCCCTATAGATGGATCATTAATATTTTGCTGTTTATACAATAATATTGGATCATATAATTCGGTTCTTAAATCATTTACTCTCAGAAAGGTTGAAGTGGCATCATCAGAATGTCTAATAACAGATGAATCAACAATAGTTTTCTTCAAATTATGAATAGTTTTTCTATCCAACAAATGATAATATTTCAATTTACTTAAGTCATCACGTTGGTTGCGTTCACCTACATTTTCTCTAATTTTGTCAAGTATAGTGTTAATTGGAATTTTCAGAGCTAACATTGTGCAAATTTCTGACTTGATGGAGTCTGGCAAAGGTAAGAATTTGCTTTCTTCAAAAGAAATTGAGTGAGTATGGGACTTAATGTACTTCACTGAAACAGAGCCATCTGATTTAATTTTGACCGACATTCTAGAAGGACATAATTTTTGAATTTTGCAAGACCCTTTAATGTTTTCTTTGCGTTTTCCAGAGTAAGTTTTACCTTTTTTAAATGAACCCGTTTTACCCCATCCCTGTGACAAACAAGAGTATAGGACTGACTGCCATCCTTATTGATTTTATTTTTCCTCTGCTTTACATACCTACAGTGAATTTTAATACTCTCCTCCTCTTTAAACTGATCAAATAAGCCAATGTTTTCAAAACTGAGATTTTCATCTTTTATACAGGCTTCATGAGAATTTTTAAGATGGTCAACTAAAACATCCACATTATGAAATGTCAAAGAACATGATGATATAGAGCAAGGAATTTTGTTTTTATTTTCTAAATCATGAACCAACTTTTGATGTCTTATCATTGTTGCCTTGTTGTAAAAATTTCTATCGCATCTAGGGCATTTTGTCTTAGACCCTGAATTTACATTAGTATCTTTACTTTGTCTGCCATAAGAATGTTCCATATTTTGATTTTTAATTTTGTAGCTCTTGATATTTTCTAACAGATCTAAACTGATTTCTTTGCAAGTTTTTGAATCAGACCTCCAGTTGTAATTACTTTTATCGTTGTTAGAAATCCTATTGGTGTTTTCTGATGACCTAGGCAGTGTTTGTTCTCTTAATTTTGGGTTCTCTACTACAGTTTCGTAATGACCACCCCCCGCCCTCGTCCAAACCAAATGAATAATGTGATCTGAATTTTGACAATTGTGTTCTAATGTTCTAACCTCTGGACTTTGAGAATCCCCTCCAATAGTTACAAGTATATTTAAACCTAACACTCTGGACAAAGCTACTATTGACTCTTGTCCTGCAAATGTTCCTGATTGCCTTATATTAGTGAGAAAGGTAACAATTTCAGAGTCAGTCATGGAAAATTCACTATTTCCATACAAATAAAAGCTGAAGTCTTCTACGTTTTCTTGAATGTGATTTACAGCTAATTCCCGTAAAGAGATATGATGGTCTTCAGTGCCATATAAACCAAAACTAATAGAACGAAACAAACAGTTACCGTCTCCTTGAATATGGGTTCGATACAAACCATACTGGGAAAGATACTCATCCTGCTGAACAAGTTGTAGCTGATGATCCAGTTGTACTCGCTGTGTTTCATCTACTTCTTTTAATACGTTTTCCATGGACTCAAGTTCCTAATTACATAGACAATAACGTTCATAAAGCATGAAAACATTTATATATTATGAAAATATGTGTATTGCAGTGTTCTAATTTAAAGAAGGAAACAATCTGTTTTCTTTCTGTTATCATTACATTTACAGTCAAGAAAAACAAGTTAAATACTGATACATGTACTAATAAATAAATTATCATTACTTCATCTGTATAATTATACAAAAAAGTCTTTTTTTGTGAGAGAAATAACAATGTAACAGTGAGGTTCAACACATTTTTTTCCTTGTGCAAAAAGACTTTCATGCAGTGTGCTCCATTACTGGAATTAGGTTATAAGTCATACATAAATTTAGTCAACATTGGCAGTGATGGGAATTGAACCCATGTCTTAGACTGTCCGTACACTACCTGTAATGATGTTAATTCAGTGCAGTAGTGTTAGGAATAGTGCAGTAGTACTAGGAATAGTGCAGTAGTGTTAGGAAATAGTAGAAACTATTAAAGTTAAGGGTTATCAAAGAATTCAGCAAGAAGAGAAAGAATTTTACATAAGCTATCAGGTTATAGAAGAAATTAAGCAGACTAAAGTGTTCCAATAAAGACGTGTTGCCTTTTTTATAGCAGTAAATATTTGAATCCAAAGATATTGAAAACAAGAGGCCCATGGGCCGCAATGCACACCAGAGTAAATTTTCAGCTGTTCTATCCCATTAGCTCTTGAGAAGAAGATTTTTTATTGGCCCAAATCTATTTTTGTCTCTCTTTATTAACTCCCCTTGTAAGGGAGCTTGGTCCTTCGCTTTAAGGATTTTAAAACAAAGGTAATCAAAGATTACGAAGCTCACCTCGACAAAGTTATCAGTTTAAGTAATGCAAATATCAAATCAAATTTTCTTGACAGTTAAAATTTATCCTGACAACAATATTCAAGCAAGTTCAGTTTAAATAGGTCTTCAAGTTCATTGGGGATTAACCTGTTCCAAAAACTTTAACATGGTCACTCTTTTGGAAAATATAGGTCAGATCCAGCATCCGAAACAAGTTTAAATTGTCCATCTATAGATGAATCATCCATGCAAGATTGGTCTGGGTAGGGCTTATACTTTATTGGGAATAACCTGGTCACTAATCTGGAAAATGTAGGTCAGATCCAGCATCCGAAGCAAGTCTGGTAGTGTCCATCCCTAGATGCATCATCCATGCAAGTTTAGTCTGGGTAGGGCTTATTGTTACTTGGGAATGGACCTGCTCCAAAAACTTTAACCTGGTCACTCATCTGGAAAATGTAAGTCAGATTCAGCATCCAGAGCAAGTCTGGTAGTGTCCATCCCTGGACGCATCATCCACGCAAGTTTGGTCCAGGTAGGGCTTATACATGTAGTTACTTAAGAAATAAGGTGTCATTTTTAGAGTTTCATTGGGGTATGACATGAAGTCCGTCACCTGATCAAATTCTATAACGCCCAAAGGGCGTTATAGTAGATTTGATCACGTGACGACTTCATGTCATACTCCTATGAAACTCTAAAAAATGATATTTTATTTCTTATATTTACATTTTTATTCAAGATACAAAGAAATATAGGCATTATATACACTTTGATATTTAAATGCAATGTAAAGTATCTACGTTCATATGACGTCACAGTCGGAACTTTCCAAATTGCTCGTGCAGTTTGCTTTCCATATGCAAGAAAGTCTGATCATGTGACCAACTGCATGTCATTGAAAATTGAATTTCAATTTTACCCGGTATTAGCATTGTTATATAAGGAGAGACATCAGCAAATGTAAATATTTGGGAATGGACCTGCTCCTAAAACTTTAACAGGGACGCTAACGCTGGGGGTATAACATAAGCTCATCTCGACTTCATCGAGGTGAGCTAAAAAAAAACCTTAAAAATATGAAGAAAGTGAAATTTTTTACAGCATACTATAAAGAAAAATTGTGAATATTCATTTAAAATCATTGAAAATATAGCTTGTAAAAATATCATATTATTGTGCTATTTTGGGGGAAAATGGTGATATATCGAGAAACAAATATTTTAGCTATGGGAGATTTTTTTTTAATAAGCTTTGATAGAGGCAAAGTTACATTAAAGTCATCCTGAACAATATTGATTTATATTCAATTGTATAGAACTATTTCTTAAGCACATTTTAAAACTTTATTTAGGTCTTATTGATCATAAGGGCTTAAATAGCATGAAAATTAATAACACATTTTACCAGCAAAATACAATTCTCAAAAATGCAGCTCATATTGCTTTAAGTAAACCTTGTTATTGAGGGTGTTATACCACAATACAGAAATAACCTAGAATACAGGAAAATTTGCCCAATTATCCTCATAGTGAACCTCTGTTATACCAGACAGACAGACAGATGCCAAGTAAAGTGATCCCTATGTGTCGCTCTCCTCTGATGGGGACACAATTAGGTTGTTTCTATTATATACAACACAAATATATATATACCTCATACCAAACCATCACCATCAAAATAAAAAAAAACTTTAAGCATATCTTAAAAAGTAAATGTGCATAAAAATGTGATTAAGAAATTGTGCATAGAAAATATATATTGTTATTCTGTAATTAAGAATGTTAATAGAGGTTAAAAAAAGCAAGTGCATGATATATATATAAATTCTTAATCTTATGATCAAACCGAAGTCCCCTTCTCCAAAAACCTGAAAGAGTTCAAAACATCTTCACCTTAAATGGGCATTTCAATCATCCATCACAAAACCAATACAATTGTTCATGATAGTATTTTAGTTATGAATAGACAGACAAACAGACAGACATGAATACCAGAACTTAATATGTCTCAATTATTTTATTAGTATTTTCAGTTAAGTGTGCCGTTTTGCATTAAGTCACTATCTTTTACGTCACAGATGCATCCATCATAAACAATTCACACCCCCGCTGTGTGATTGGTCAACTCATATTTATTAACATTGACACGGAAATAGTCATGCTCACATTGACTAGAGATGTTACATTAGCTCTTCCATAGAAAATAGTGATTGATTTCATTGCTTAAGTAATTAGGGAAGAAGGCTGGAACACCTCTGGATAAGAGCAATGATGACTGAATTTAGTATTTAATTAAGAGA